ACTCAGTCTGGGAGCCTCCATGGACAGCCTCTCTCATTTCTCCTAAGGGACCTTCAAGATAAAGTGAGTATCCTGGTTGTAGTTATCCTACATGGCAACCTCAAACATTGCTTACCTTTGCTGATGTGAGGTTCTTTCTTACCTGCTGCAAATGCAGATCTTTTCTATCAGAATACAAGGAAAAATATGTATTACTGTGTGTGTACACATGCACGTACACACACACCTAAATACAGGTGCCACAAACACATGTAAACGCAGATACAGACACGCTTAGAGACACCAATGAGAAAAAGCTTTGCTTTGTGTTTGCACCCTCATGGGCTGCACAGTGAGCTGTACACAGCAGCTGACTCTGGTGCTGCTCCTGAGTCACTGAGGGCGTTGTTGCTGAGGCTGAGCAGGAACCTCCCCTGAGCCCAGCCTGTGAGAGCCCAGCTGAGCTCACCTCCAGGACCAGCTGGTTCCTGCATACCTCACATGCTGCTTCTGCTTAGTTTGGCTCTTCCATGTTTTGACAACCTTGGGGGCTGACAGGGGCTGTTCCTCTATGATCTCTCCTAACAGGCTGCTCTGGTGTTGGCTCCACTGTAAATATTAGAAATCAAACCAGCTGGAACTGCTTGCAGTGAGCTTTTAAAAAGAGAGCCTTTTTCTTGGAAAGAGGTCAGATTATCAAAAAGAGCCATTTCCTGGGGCACATGGAATGTGAATGGCTTGTTTTTGCTGCTGTCAAGATGCTGAATAGTAGGTTGGCCTAAGGCTGAAGTACCCTGCTGGCTTAGCTGTGTGCTGTGGCAGGGACCTGCAGCACCTGTGCAGTAGAACTCTGATACAACAATCTTCTTCTGCTGCAGCTTAGGCTGGAGAGAGAGAGCAGGATCAGCAACTGCATCTTGAGAATGGATGCTGGAGCTGCAGAAAACCTGACTGCATTATTTTGGCACTCTGCATTGCTAGTATCTGCTCCTAATTTTCTCATTTCTCTGACAAATTTGGGGTGCTGTGTTGCTGGAAGTATACTTTCCAAGCAAGAACAAGCATGTTTAAATCTGTATGGCTACTGAAGATACCACTGCATCAGTTCCTGTTCAGCATGGCAATACTGCAGTCATCTCATAAAGTTCTGCTTTTTCATCTGCAAATTGTTTTGAATTATTTCCATCCACAAGTCAATGGAGTCATCTGGTACTTTTACATACTTTACTCTTTCTAGTAATTCTTATGTGCTCTCTACGAATGTGTTGGAATTCCCAATGTAATGCAAAACTAATGGGGCTTTTTGGAACACCCCCTGCACATGAAAAGGTTAATATAAAAGGTTACTGTATTTCTACTTTTTTTGCCCATAAGTTAGAGGGGGAGATATTTTTTTCCTTTTTGGCACCTGTACACACTTGTGAGATGTGTGGAGATAATGGAGATAAGAAGAGAAAAAGAGAAAATCTTGTGAATTTTAAAGCTCACTTAAGGTGAACAGTTTATGGCTTGGTGGAAACAGAACAAAACTAAAGTTCTGTAATAGCTGGGGAAGGAGCAGATACTGGTCTGCTGGGTTCCAATTCTTGAGCAGCATAGAAAAGCAGTAATTTTTTACAATTATTGGGATTTTTTGACCTGCTAAAAGAATACCTGTAAGCTTTCTGGGGTCAGTGGGGGAGCAGGCCTTTCTTGCAAGCAGCAATAGTGAAGAAAGAATAAGATTAGGCTATGCTTAGTGGCAAGCTGCTCAGGCATGGTGCTGGTTATGGGATGTTGTCACAAGCCCACCTCAACTGCAGCAGTCCAGGTGCCTCTGCGGAAGCAGCTCAGACAAGGCCTGGCTGTGCAGGTGCACAAACAGGTGTCTGCATTCACTCAGGGGGGCTTTCTGCATGTGTACTCATTCAGGGGGGCTTTCTTATGTTTAGACGGAGGAAAACTAACACCAGTCCTGCTGGTACCACGAGGCTTCTACAACTGTGAATTTTTGAACAGCTCTTTAGCAGTAGGAGAATGTGCCTTTGACAATGATTTGTCTGGCTAATACCCCTCTGGCTCTCTGGAGCAAACCATCATGTGTGCAGAACTGCATATGGCTCACCCTCTTACTCTCATCCAATACAGCACCTGAGTCGATAATGGGACTAAAAAAATTATCATCCTCCTTTCCTGACTGCTTCAGGGCTCCTGGAACCATGCAAACTCACAAACTGCTATTAACACCTTCCCATGAAAATGCCTGCCCCTCTGGCTTTACTATCAGCAACTCCTTTCCCATGGGAACAATGCAAAGAACCTGTCAAAGGCAGTTAATACATTCAATTGTATTTTTTTACAAAGAAAGAGGCATAATTGAAATTGCAGTATTAAATCTACTGAATCATTCATACTAGGGAGTATCTGACAATGTTATGCCATTATGTCGTTAGTGTGCTCAGTTTATGATGTGGTGATGATGAATTTTGCGTAATTCATTTTTGAAACCTGAATTTATTTTTCCTAGTGGTCTCCAATTCATTTATCCCTTTTATAATCTGTGCTAATTTAACCCAATGTAATCAAATATAGCTATGGGTGTGTTCGCCTTTAAAAACATCCAATATTGTAATTAGAATAATTAGTAATTGAGAAGTCTAAGAGGGAGACAAAGCCTTCTAGCTACTTGACAGCTGTGTTGGTTGTAGCCATTTTCAGAGCTGGGAGGAGAAGAAGAGAAATCTGAGAAATTTAATTTATATCACTCTTAAAATTAGTAAGTGTCACTAACCAAAAGGTTTTATAATTCCATACCATGACTACTGAATTACCAAAGCTGAAAAACAAAGACCTCATCATAAGCTTTCAGTAGCTGTACTAGACCTACTCTCTTCAATTCTGCATCGAAAGCCAGCCATGATGTGGCCCACTGTAGAGGCCCAACTTCCTGCCCTGCTTTCCCCCCCTCTTTTATTTTTTCTGTTTTTTTTCAACTTCCCACTTTGAATTTATCCATCTTTAATACGTTTTTTGTAAGTTTGCATAACTTTGGTAGTTCTTCTAAAGAGATACAGATGCCTTGATTTTCATTCGTCCACCTAAGCATAATGTCCCTGGAAAGTCACAGAGCATGATCATTAAGTGCCCTGTGTAAGTGATCTACATCTGGCTATCTATTTAGCATTCCTCCTTACACTCACTGATGCCAATTACCTATTGCTTGTGGATCCAGGCTTTTTAGTCCTCCTCCTCTTCAAACTGGAAAATGTAGAAGAGTTAAAAACTTCATCCATTGACATTCAACTCAGATAAAGTCATATCATTTTACCTCAGTTGAATATGGGAATGAAGGTAAGGACTGGTTACATCAGCTAAACCATCAAGTGCAGAAGTTTCTCTATTTAGAGAGAGAAAGGATGCTATAAGTCAATACAAAGTTTTCAGGGAAGCATCAAATAGCATTTTGTTATTAAACTGACCTAATACCAAACCTTTGCCTGCAGGTACCACAACTTCCTGGCTTTTCCTGGCTAAAGCCCTGTCTTTCAGCATCTGATATTGTGTACATTGGTTTGAGGGATGTGGATCCTGCTGAGTAGTAAGTTGGTTTAGATTAAACTATTTTTGTAAAGGCTGAATTAATAAGCTTGAAATCACATCCATAAGGGTTGCTAGATTTCAGCTTAAACCAGTAATGATGGTTTAAAAAAAATTATTTTCACAGTTATATTTTGAAGAACTTTGACATCCAGTATTTTTCCATGAGGGATATTGATCGCCTTGGAATTCAGAAAGTTATGGAAAGAACCTTTGAAAGACTGATGGGCAGGTAATGAACTATTATCTAATTTAAACTACTCTTGTTGAACATCTGCTTTCCTGAAAGTTATTGAAGTGAAGTCTCTTGATGTAGGGTGGCTGTACAGAACAGTGACAGCACCCAGTATACAGGGAGGCTCAGCACTGGAGCCATTTCACCGTGTTTGGCAGATGGCTGAGACAGTTTACCACTCACTACAGTTGTGGCTCTGTTTTATACTGTTTGGTTCTGTTAAGTAATTCTGCATTTCTGCAGTTTTACAAGATGCTTGAATCAACTCAGAGTGCAGGATACACGTTACACTTTTAAAAATACATACAGCAACTTGACAGTAACTTGAAATGAGCTGTTGGTATGGGAAGTGGAAGCTTTTGATGGCTTCCTCCTTGGAATGCTCACACATGATGTCCTGATGGTGGCTACCAGTGCCAGTGCAGCTGGTAAAGCTCACTTTAACTACTCCCTTACTGCAGTTCACTACTGCCACCTTTGTGACCCTTGTTCAAGTTTGGGGAGCCAGGTCAGGGAGCAAATCATGCTAGGAGCTGGGAGAGGGTCACTTAGAAAGGATAACCTCTGCCACAGGTTAGAACCTGTGCTGCATGCTGCTGTTTTCTAAAGGTGTGCTCACCCTTCCTAGCTGCAGCTGTGCCAAGTAAAGAAGATGGTAATCCAGATGCTTCTCCTTACTGAGCATCTGCAGTAGTCGGAAGAATGCAGTCTGCCACTTAAATAATTCATGTGAGTGCCAAGCAGTGTCCAGTTTATTAAGCGCTGGCGTCAGCTGCAGATGATATAGTAAGTAACTAGCATTTTAGGTTTGGGATTATCCTTTACTACTTCAGCAGTTAGGCTACATGGCAGGGTTTGGATACAGCTTTTAAGTATTGACCTGAAAAATGCTCATCTTGATGAACTGTCAGTGAAATCCTTGAGCTCGGTGCTTCCTCCATCCTAGCTGCCATACACATCAGTGTTTCAGCCTTCACCCTGGCTTTCTGTACAAAAGGAGAAAAGGCTGGATTGTATCATACACTTCTCTACATCATCCCACTAAGATGACAAATACCAGTTAAGATGGTTTGAACTAAAGTACTTATCTTCAAACAAATCCTCCCTGAGTAGATGCTTTTTTAATGTATATGAGACATGGTTCAAGGAGCTTGATGCTACTTTGCTGATTAGCCTAGACAGTAAGAAATGCACATAGAAAACATTTAAGGCTCTAAGATTGCTTTTCTTGTTTTATTCTGTCTCAGGAGACAGAGACCAATTCACCTGAGTTTTGACATTGATGCTTTTGATCCCTCACTGGCTCCAGCAACGGGGACTCCTGTTCTAGGTGGATTAACTTACAGAGAAGGCATGTACATCACAGAGGAAATACACAACACAGGTAGGAGCACCAGCAGTACGGGGCTAAGCGAGGACAGGACAAACTACCCAGAGCGCATACTGGTTATGTTTTTCTGGTATAAATAGATAGTAAGTGTAGTCAAAACAAAGGTGCCTGCAAAGTCAATTCAGCCTTCAGTAAGGGAAAAAGAAGTCCCGTGACTGGGCAATTCCCTTGGTGTTGGAAGCATCTTAACCATCAACAGCTTCAGCTTAGCAAAAGAAAATACACAGTATGTTAACAGCTAATGTCAAAAATGTGTAATACTGTTCCCTAATCCCAAACACATGAGGAGAGATGTGAAAATGGGCATCTGGATTACAAAAATGGGTGCAAACAATCTTAAATAGTTTCAAGTTCCATTCTAGGATTGAAGACTAATAAATCAAGCTTTCATAAAATATACTGCAGTTGATTCAATATATGAGGACTTTTCATCTTATTACCATCAAGTTTTTATTTAATATGTTTAAACAATATTATTTGCAGTAAAAGAAGGTTAAAAAAATCCCAACCGGACAATAGTCTATAGATTCGTGAACAGGATAGCAAAAGAATATGAGGTGAGACTACCCTCATTTTTGGACTAGGAGAAAAAATGTTCCTCTCATAAATGTGTATGGAACATCAAATGTTTTTCCTGTATGCTGAAAGCACGAGTGAGTGAGGTAGTGACGATGTAAGAAAGAACAAAATTAAAAACACAAATTTGCATCTGAGAAGGAACTTCATCCCTTGAGTGCCAATCTTACTTGTCTAAGGGGTAGAGCAGGTCACAAACCCAAATACCAGACTTGCTACAATGAATAAAAGGCTGCAAACAAAACCGTGCAGAAGACTGTACCCTTTGTCAGAGTAACAAAGCTGCCAATCATTTTCACAGGAATGCTTTCAGCTGTAGACATGGTTGAAGTCAATCCACTGCTGGGAGCTTCTCAAGAGGCAGTGAAAGCAACTGCTCGCCTTGCAGTCGATGTGATAGCGACGTGCTTTGGGCAGACAAGGGAAGGAGCACACATTGCTTTTGATGAACTCCCAACACCCAGCTCTCCAGATGAATCTGACAGTGAAGAGCAAGTGAGGATTTAAGAACCCATGTTGGATATATTGGACACTACAGAGCTCTGCCGAGGCACTTGAGTGGATAGATTGTCAACACTTGGCAAATACTGTTAACATCTCAGTTTTTAAATAAACTAGCTTTTCCATTGATCAGTGGCTACTTTATTACATAGCAAGATTTATTCATTTAGTTAAGTATATACAAAATGAGACAATAAAATATTTATTACCTTCTTATTAATCTTACCAGTAGTTCAAGCCTGTTTCTTTTTACTCCCATTCTCTGTCTTTCAAGTGTCAGTACAGTTTCAGTTCAATGTGCTGTCTCATGACTCAGTTCAACCCTCAGACAGTCAAAGGGAGCAGACAGCCCATCCTATTCCTCAGCAGTGGAAAAGCTCATCTTGATCATGAAGGTTCATTTCTTGCGAAAGAACTTGTAGTAGACCACACCTCCTAGGATGGCCAGTTCCAGGATGATGATAATTGATAGCAGCAACTTATTTGTGGTTATTCTAGAGTTAAAAAATAAAAATCCAAGGGTGTTTTTTTTTTTAGCTTGTTTATGAAAGCATATTCTAGATCCAGATCCCCATCTTCCCTTCCCTCTTTCAGCGAGACCACACTGTGCTTTTCAAAAAGCTCTTAACAAGCAGAAAGGGCCGAACTCAATAGTTCGCTACTCATGTTTTCCTGGAAATCCTGTTTGAATCTCCTATTTCAGCAGTAGTTCTGTTCCTCTTCCCATGTCTCACAGAAGGCAGATCATTGCTCTTTATGTGCACACTCCTTCAGTCAAGCAAAGAGGAAAACAATACCTGGAGTCCTGTGCTAAAAACCCTCATGGTGGTGCTTTTACTTGGAACTATGTTGCTGAAGGAAAACTAAAATCTCAAAATAATAAAGTACTTTTACTACTGAAAACTAGACAGTTATCACAACTTCCTTTGGCAATAGGCATAAAGGAAAGGTTGTGAGGAGATAAGTACCTGCTGGGAATACAATCTATGAACTAGGTTTTTAAGGCTAATTAAACAATACAGCTAAACTGCAAATCCACTTAAGCCGCCAAGGTTTTAGCCATCAAAATCATACATGGTCCAGCTCAAGAGTGTCTCATGGGCCAGCCTAGGACTAACTGCTCTAGGGCATTGGTGTGGACTAAACTGATTAGTCTGTGTCATCAGGCATCTAACCCACCCAATGCTGCAGTGATTTATGGCACAGCCTTTCCCAACCTGAATGAGGGGCATCTAAAGGCACCATGAGCAAGTCACTGTAACTTACTTCTGTCCTCACCGTGGTTTGGATGGTTAAAGACCCCACATCACCCTGACCAAACAGCACACAGTCAGTGCTGTTCAACAGCCTGTACACCACTCACCTCCGGGACATCGAGCGCAGAATCTTGCGACTCTTGCTCAAGTTCTCACTGGTATTCACCAACTGAAGAGAGGCAGAAGTTACTCGTCAGTTAAACAAACACACATCAACTCTGGAAAGATGCATGTGAAAACAGCTGGTGTTGAAATGCTGCAATGAATTACAGGACAGGATGACCACGTCCTCTCAAAATTGAGACACAGCACTGTTTTCTACCCACAACAGCAGCTGGAAGCATTGCCTCTTTTCCAAGGAGAAATTAAGACTTTTCTGTATACTTTCCCTTAGATACATACAAAGACATGCAATCTGAGACCACTTTCTGCCTCTTTAATTAATATACAAATATCAGAAAAGTGGTATTAACTTCTTTCATTAAGTTTCATTTCTGTTAACACCAGAAGAAAGTGATACTGATGTGTTCACCCCAGTGCATATCAAAGTGTTTGAAATGCTGCTCAAGTTCTATCAAAGAAAGAACTGTGTTGCACTCAGAGGTCTAAGTGACCCAGTGGGTACAAGCTCTGAGCTGTTAATGGATAATCCATTTCAGCTTTGTATTGCCCAGAAATGAACTGCCCAGCATACCCAGTCAGCTATTAAGAAACATGCAATTAAGTGAGGTTATAGACAACTAAAAAAGCTGCTGCATCACAGACACAATTCATGACGCATGGCCACTGGTCTCCAGGTAAGATTTCACTATTCCACTTCCAAACATTCTAAGGAAGTGAAGGGTGAGCCAGGTCACTTATATCATAGACACCTGCCTGCACAATTTCTCTGTAGTTTAACACATTGCCCTCAACTGCAAAGCTGCTTGTATGTTTCTTTGCACTGAGATGGACTGGACAAAGCTGGGAAAAAAACTATCAAGGCCATTGGGAGCTTAGTAGATTTCCAATCTTCACTATGAAAGAACAAGAAGAAAGTCTGCTTCCAGTTGGAATGTGTGGTTCACACAATTCCACAATTTGTTGCCTAAGAGGCTCACAATAGAAGTCACAGACCCTGTTTAGTGATGAACACAGCAGTGATGGGTTAACAGTTGGACTCAATGATCTTTGAGGCCTTTTCCAATCTAAACAATTTTATGCTTCTGTGAATGATCTGTTGAGAGACTGTGATGCCAGAAGGACTGTAATACTTTTTATCAGTTGAAGGACAAAAACTATACCTACAAATCTTAAGATCAATTTCCTTTCCTGCTTTCTAACTCAAATTTTGGAACAGGACAAATCAAATTCTGACTGAAATTACAGGACTACTTAAACGAAAAAGCTACAGACTTTGTTGCAATGAGTAGAAAGAACTCCCAAAAGCAGGGGTATGCTTTTTGCTTTGGCTGAGTGAGCTTATTTGCCAAACTAGGTGTCCCCTGAAGTCACTCACCTAAAAGCTTTACACTCAGGATCCCTTGCACACACAGTAAAACCCATCCGTTTGTTAGTTCAAAAATCAAATTGTCAGTTTTGCATATGTGTGTAAACAAAACAAGTGAACTAGTTTTTGAAGCTTTCACAGCAGAAGCAGAGCTTTTTGAACCAAGGATGAGGAATAGACAACTTGTCTGGCATTTTCTCCCTCCCTGCAAATATTGGAAAGCTAGTAATTAAGTAATTACTCTTCTACTAAATTTAATTTAGTTACAAAAACTTGCTAACTGTTTCCAAAATCTCAACTTTAACTAGTAATCTAGTCATAAGGCAACCCCTTATAATCTGCAACTTTTTCAGTAATGCTATTTTTTCTAGCAGATCTATAGGTCTAATCTCCCATTTTGCACAGACACAGCAGCAGACGTTTTACCACCACGCTTTGAACCCTTCTACAGCAATTACTTGTCTTTTATGAGAACAAATAGAAATGTGGCAGCCTGAGCTTGGTCTGTAGAGCTATCCAATTGGATGACTATGCCTTGGAAGGTCCCTGAGAGTAACTGGTGGCATAGAGTTCCCAGTAAGAGCGAGCAGACTGTTTCAAAGCAATGCCCAGTTTCCTGCTCACCCTGCTCTTGGTGCGCTCCAGCTGCTCCCGCTGCTCCCCGAGCTCCTCGATGATATCCGTGCCGATCTGGTCGGTTTCGGCAGCGATCCGGTGCGAGCGTTCGATGCTCTCGCTGGCTCGGTTCAGACTGTCTGTGCCCTGGAGCAGCAGCACTCTCTGGGACTGCAGGTTAGTCTGAAAAATAATGGATGCTTAACTATTAAGCACAAAGACAGAAGTATAAGGCTTGTGACATTAAAAAGTTAGAATGTGACTCCATAGGCCATCCATTTGTATTAGCTGTACGCATTCCTTACGTTAACTGATGCAGCCTGGTTAATTTTGGCTGAGCCTTGTTCACCTTGTAAGATTATGACCAAATCTGGTTAAATCTCTAAAAAGGATACAGCACTGAAGAGTTAAAACAGTTCCAAAAAGCTGTCTTGTAACAATTTACTTTTCCATCAAAGAACATTTACATAAAAATAGTACCTTTCTTTTCCAGATGCTAACTTTTACTTCCATTCATATCTAAAGTCAGCCTTCACAGTTGGTTGCCAGGGAAATCTTTAAGAGTTTACAGTCAAAAGGATTAGGAACAAACAGCACTAACAGATGGACAGCTAAGTAACAAAGATCCTCTTTTCATGCCAGTAGCCTGGTCTAGAGGATAAGGAATGTTTGCCGACCTTGGGGTCAGAAGGTAGCTCAAAATAAAGTGTTTTCTTAAGCTTCAGAAAGTCTAATCTATCACCCTTGCTCTCAGGTTTTAGAGTAATCAGTCAAGAGGAATCAAATGCAAAAATTTCCCAAGCTGCAGCAGAAGGAAATACTTAACAAAGAACCCCCCTCAAAACTGGCCTCATCTAAGGCAGAAAAATGAAAAGCCCACCTCTGTACAGATGACAGCACTTTGAAGACAATAAGGAGATTCAGTCTCACTAGCTCAGATATCTCTAAGCCTATCTGGTAAACAAGAAATTGGTGTACTTTTTGCATTGTGGCAGCAAAACCATAGTGAAAAAAGTGCTAGAGAAAAAAATCCTTGTATTTTCTTGAAATTATTTACACTAAGATCGCTTAAAAGATAATTCTACCAAAGAACCTATACAATGCATGATTCATGCTTTGCTAGTTTTGGAGATTAGAACTAGGTGAGTTAACCTTTTTATCATTAAGAAGCATCACTTCTGTGTTTTCCCTTCTGTAGGAAGGGAAACCTGTGGAATGATTAAACAAAGAGTTTCAGTACAGAATGTTGCGCAAATTACTAACCACGTGTCTTTCAATGAGTTCCATTTTGATTACATTCCTATCTTTGTTTTAAACAGAAAAACTCTCCTCTGAGTTCCAGGTGTTCTTCTCCCTGAGATATTCATGTTACATGCAGAGAGATATACAGGGACTTATAAAAGCACAGAGGTAGCTTAAAGTAGAAGCACTGTAAGCAATGCATCTGCAATAATGCTCTTGCACCATCACAGCACAGTCAGATCAAATTTACATCTAATCCTTACACTCTGTTCATTTTCTGTGGCAAAGATTCCATATTTTGTATCGCCTTGGTTTCCACGGCCCAACCCCAAATCTGTGCTTCTCATATCCCTCTGGAACATGGACAGGTCTCTTCTGTAGGCTCGGATTTTGCTCATCATTTGGTTGCGGAAAGGCACAGGCGCATACTTCAGCTCTTCCTCCATTTCCCGCAGCTTCAACAAAAGAAAGCAAACAGAAGATGTTTATTCTTTAAAGCACCAAATCCATGCTTAGCAGCAGCCATACTCAAAACTCAGCACCAGATGAAAGGATTCACATTTGTCTTGGACTGGCTGAGGGGGATAACCCTAAACCCCACACCCCATCTAGTATTGAGGACACCACACTACCCAATGCTGTTGAGCCCATGTGTATTTTCACATACACAGCACTGCAATAAAAAAAAAATTCCCAAGCTTAAATGCTTGATTTTCTTTCCATAAAATATCACTCTAAATTTTAAAATTTGCAATTCTCACTTTCTTATAGTTTAAGCATTTATAGGATGGGTATCAGCTTTCTATTACATCTGTGCAAAGAGACAGAATCATAGTATGGTTTGGGGTTGAAGAGACCTTGAAGATCACCTCGTTCCAACACTCCTGCCATGGGTAAGGGCACCTCCCACTAGACCAGGTTGAATGCTTCCAGGAATAGGGCATCCAGGGACATCACCCTGGTGGAGCATCACCTGGGACTCCACCTGACTGCTCTGACTTTTTCAAATGCCATGGACAGTAGCTTGGCAAGTACATAAGCCAATTCCCTCAGGACACTGTGATGCATCTCATCAGGTCCCATAGATGTAGTATGTTCAGGTTTCTCATGTGCTCATGAACCTGGTCATCCCCTAAAGGAAGGAATTTGCTCCCATGGTCCTGGCATGGCAGTCCACTAACCCAAGAGATGTGGGAAAAGAGGTTACCATTGAAGATTGAGGTAAACAAGATGTTGAGTACCTCAGCCATCTCCTCATTCAGATCTATTGCATGGGTAGGCACAGCACTAAATTCAGGCTCTGAACATCCAGGCTTGGCAACTTGAGTTACAATCTGCAAGCCCCAAGATTCTGGATGCATGAATTTTCACATTAACTTCTGGTGACAGTTGTAACAAATTCAAAATGCTTAAAGCTGTATGCCACCATGAGCTCTCACAGAGGGAGCTCCACATCTCATACATCACCACCTAGAGGTACCAGTCAATAAACCCCAGTAAGTTAGGAGAATAATGCATCATGTTCAGCTGTGACTAAAACACAACCTAACAAACTGCACACTGAAATATGAAAAGAAAGCTTAATTCATAATGTCTTGTTTTAATAGACAAGTCACATGGCTTTTCTGGTGCTGTTCCATATCACCTGCTGTCCAGCAAGCCTTTACACTACTACAGAAAGATCAGAGAGGCTAAGACCAACATGCAAAAGACAGTAGTGCAATAAAAAACCCCAGGCAGCAGATTCTCTACATGCCTGCCCTAAAACCTCTAGCAATTTTAATTGCACCTCCACTGCTCTACCATTTTCAACAAAGTGAAGGCAGTTATCAAAACTGAGCATTCAAAAACCCCTCAAAAAACATGTAAGAATATGTGTCTATATTTTTGTATCCATATAAGTATACACAACTGTCTTATCAAACACAGACACACCTATCAGATCAATTCTCAAACAGTAAAAAACTTAAACTCCTGCCTGCCAGAACAGGATCCATAAAAAAGTAATATTTTAAGTGCTGTCCTTTTTAAGGCAGCAGTCTTCCAGCCCTCAGGAAGGCCAGAAGCCCCACACTCACTGTCTCGTTGGCTTCACGCTGCTTCTCATCGAATTCTCGAACCAGTTTCTTCTTCTCCTCTGGGAAAGTAAAAGCAGGATGTCAGATAAACTACAGAGAAATGACAACAGAACTCCAGCTTAATCCATTAAAAACAAGGAAGCTGCCACAGACAAGGAAGCTGGCTGCAGAGTCCCAGGTCAAAATTTATCTCAAATGGGAACAGCTTGTTCTTATGACAACTTTTCAGATGGGAGTGGGGCAAGAGAGCAGAAATTGCTCTTCCAAATGCTGAACACTGCCTCTGGTAGACAAAAGAAGTAATTGTTCAAATATTTTTCTGACCTACTGTCCTTCAATGTCTACTGACAAAATTGCATATTGAAAGAACAGCAAAGAAGACACTTTGGTAAAGAACTCATAAATACATTTCTTATTTTTTGGAAACACTTGGCAAGATTACTGAAGGCTGAAACTACAATTTGGATTTGAACAGAACATCAGGTCAATCTACATTCCCAAGTGAGACCTGAAGGTCCTGCCAGATCTGGCACTCTGCATTCCCGTGGTCATAAAGTACACAGGATAAGCATTCCAGAGTTCTCTGAGATTAAAGATGCCACCAAGGTATCACCTCAAGTTCACAGACTAAAGCCCAAACACTTCCCTCTTGTGGAATGACATGAATCAGCCAACAACACTAGACATTTCAGTTGTTTAAGACAGCATTTTAGCCAGATCTGTGTTCCTAGGGCTTTGGAGACCAAAGAATGGGTTTCACTGCTGTTACTCTATTTTTAAACAAAAGGCCTGTTATTTTTCATGTGTTAAAAAACTATCATATCTCTCTAACATCCACCATCAATGAAAGTCTAAATCCAAAACTTTCCTTATCTCAACTGAGCAAAAAACACATGTTCTGCAATCTTTTGCAAAAGCACTGAAGATGAACACCAGAGGACTGTTGTAGACTACTGCCAGCAAAATGAAATTCTATCAAAAATCTGATAACTATGCACCTAGCTTAATTCGCCTCTCTCCAAAGAGTATTATTCAGTCTTAAACAAAATTCTAAGCAGAAGAAAATGTAGACTGCCATCTTGGTAAAACTCCTTCAACTTGATTAAAGACAAAATTACACACAACATTATAAAAACATCATTGCAGTTAAAAACCTCACTTGATAATGCCTTTTGGTAAGCACAGTCATCTGCAAAAGATGTAGCTTTTAAACCACTGAGATCTCAACAGAAGATAAGAAAAAACTTGGCGTGTTCAGAACATTGGTATATAGCTCCTCTCACATATACAACACACCTAAACTGTAGGCTTTCCTTCTCAGTCCAAACTCGGATTAAGCCCAGAATTTCAACTGTGGAGAACTTAAGAGAGAACTAAAACCCATCTTCTGAAGAAGTAGCTGTGGTCTCACATAGCACACAGAATTATTACAGACTAAGCTACATGATGACTGTTAATACACATCAGCTGATATCAGGAAATGCTGTTTCACATCCCAATTTATTCAGGAGGAAATGCTGACTAAAGAGGTTCTTAAATACACTCTCCTCAACCTCCTCCATGATTTGCCACCATATACATTTGTGCTGATGCCATTGTTTGTGCAGCTGGGTTACAAGTGAAATCGTGGATATGAACTGTGGAAAAACAGCCTTTGGAAGTCAGTAATTTGTTTCATACAGGTCATTTCTCTAATATGATTCAAGCAGTGCCCTCTTACACCCACTTTGCTGTTTCAAAGTCATGGAAACCCATCACAGATTTGGAAAAGTAGCATTTCCCTGCTTTGTTTCTCCTGTGCACACTAATAAGATGCTGCACTTGTGAGCTTGCAGCCAAAGAAATGCCAGCTTCCAAAAGGCATAGAATCATAGAATGGTTCAGGTAAGCCAAGCAGCAATAGCTTGAGACCTTTTTGTCTACAGGCCAGCAAGAAATCCAGCAATGTGGCTTGAAAACGTTCTACTGGATGTGGCTGGAATCCAGAAACACCAAGATACACTGAGAGGTTCACCTGGTGTCGCTCTGCATTGAACCACAACTCAAAGCACAAGGACAGAACTCTAAAATGCTGCAGCAGTGCCTGTGCCACGGCAGCATTACCCACATGCTCATCAACATTTAACAGATTTATTTCCAATCAGTTACCAAGAGATTCAGTTGGAAAGTACAGCTAACTGAATTCATGTAGAGGAAAAGACATGATTTGCAACATATCCAGGCTGCTTCCCCTTTGTCATCTTGTTTATATAGAGTGAAACAGCATTTCCAAACCTCTTCCCCTCAAAGATGTCCCAAGAACTACAAGTTTTGTGTTGCTTTTGGAGCATGTGAATTGTCTTAAAAGAGTATTCCAAGGTCTCTTCTATCACTTCCTGAGTATTTCAGGATCAGATAACTCAAAAAATAAATTTATATTCCCCTCCTCCTAAGTACAAGAAGCAAACAAAGAACATTAGGAGAGTGGAATGACTCTACCAGACAGACAAATTCCTAAATATTAAACTCTCTTAGAAACTTTCAAAAAATAGAGCCAGGACTTTTGCAGCAAAAAAAATTTAAAGAATAGAACAGTTGTATTAATATTCTTTAGCATTCTTTAGCAAATTCAACTTGCAATTATTTACAATCTATTGAAAAAAATCCCAGGTATTGCAAAACCAGCTGCTTCTAAATACTCCATTTCAGCCCATGGCTTAGACTTCATTGCTCATGCGTACCACAGTGTCAAGGAGACCTGACAAAGTTTTTCTTAACCAAGAAACTGATCATGCTCATTTCTATAGGAAAATAAGGATTTCTACTAGAAAAGGTATTCTTCTTTTAAGTTTTTTATCCTTGTTGACCACTACTGAAATTAAGTCAGGTTTGCAAGTTGTCATTTGCAGGTTTCAGCCCCTTTCTTGTACCAAACTTCCTGGAAATGCTGATGACAAGGACTGTGACCCTGAATTTGACTCATTATTACATAGAAAGCCAGGTAAGAAACAGGACGTTAAGTGTTTCATGCTCTGTGCAGACTGGTATTTTCTGAACAAATTGTCTTTATGACTTTACACAAAACTGATCAACTGTGGGAGAATGAACACTACAGCAGAGCGTGGCTGACAGCCCTTGCCCATCACTGGGGTACAAAACCTGAGCTGAACTGCAGCAGCTCATGACAGCCGTGGATTGTGGATTACATTTCTCATGGGAAGGGTTCAATCAGAAGCATTGAATGACACTGGCAAAATTCTCCTTGTGGCATTGCTTCCCTTTCTGGTTCTCAGAACACTGCAGAACATTGCCAAGCATCAAGGGCTAAATCAGAAGCACAGATCTTTACAGAGGAGTGTTTTGTCAGAGCATTTTACCCACTGATGTGGTATAAAGAATAGCTGTAAAACCAGGCTGTGTTCTAATACAACTTAGTGTGGCTAGAATGATAGGTTTTCTCTATTTTGTGAGTACACAGTGCACAAACCAGACTTTTAAAACAGTCATTTAAAGTGCAAACATTCTCCGACAAATCTCCAGATGCTTCTGGGGAGTTCTGACAATAAAAACCTGCTTCTGTTTCTGCCAATGAGGTTTTAAATGTGAATCCAACATAGCAAATTAAGAAAAGGGGGGACAAGAACCCCAAACCCCCAAAAGTGCTGCAATTGTTACAGAACCACAGAATCAATTAGGCTGGAAAAGACCTTTGCAGTCATCAAGTCCAACCTGACCTAACAGCACCTTGTCAACTAGACCATGGCACTGAGTGCCACATCCAGTATTTCCTTAAACACCTCCATGGGGGGGGACTCGACCACCTCCCTGGACAGCTCATTCCAGGGTCTAATCACCCGTTCAGCGAAGAAATTCTCCCTAATGTCCAACTTTAACTCCTCCTGGTGCAGCTTAAGACTGACAGACTCTTGTCCTGTCCTTGGTTGCCCGGAGAAGAGGCCGACCCACAGCTGGCTGCGCCTCCTTTCAGGAGGTTGTGGAGAGCGAGGAGGTCACCCCTGAGCTCCTGTTCTCCAGTTCAAATAGAAACAGCGTGGAATAGCATCCAAATAACAACTCCTCCTCAGAGACTGATGCTGTGAACCTAGCACGGCACTGCTTGCCAGTGGAGCTGAAATTTGCCAGAGCATAGGAGCTCCAGGGCAGTGAAGCCACACACCTGCAAAGCCACCAGGCCACGGCAGCAGCTGAAAACACCACACGGCAGAGTCACCCGCCTCCTCCCTGCAAGCGCCTACCAGAGCGACGTCCCCAATCCCCACAGCTGCAAAGCCCCCCCACAAAGCCTTGAAGGGACGCTGCCTTCCCAGCTGCTCGAACACGCCAGGCTAACGAGAAGCACCCCAGCACTCCTGCCACGGCCCCGCAGCCGGCGGGGCAGCCCCGGCCGGAGGGACCGCGGCCCCGCCCGGCCCCGAGAGACGTCCACTCCCCCTCCCCGCCTCACCGGCCGCGCTGCCCCGCAGCCGCTCGGGGACGGCCCGCAGGTCTCCGTGCAGCCCGCGGAAGATCTCGTGCAGCCGCTCCAGGTGCTCCGAGGACGCGGAACCTCGGCCCGCCATGGTCCCACAGCCCCCGGCCCTGCCCCGCCCGGCGCTTCCGCCGCCGGGGCCGCCTCGCGCACTGCCTGCTGGGAGCTGTAGTCCCGGCGACGCGGCCATGCCTGCCCCGCGCGGGGGCGCTCGTCCGCCGCCGCCACGGAGCGCCCCGGGCCGGCAGCCCCGATGCGACCCCGGGGCTCCACGGTACCGGCGTGACCCGCCGCTGCCGCGCTGCTCCCAGGCCGGGGCGCCTGCCCATGTGTACATGGCTGCATGCCCCTTGCCAGGGTTAATGACATGAACCTCAGCGGGGAGTTGTAAAAATGTGTTTCAAACGCCACTGCCGACAGCCGCCGCTGCGCTGTGTCTACAGACATTTCTCGGCTCCTTAATTGAGGAGCGCGTTTCAGAATGTTTCGAGGGACCCAGATCGGAGTAAGAAGCAGGGGGCAGCTGGCATACCCGCAGGTACTCCCGGCGGGGGCGCGGCCCGGCAGTGGAGGTGTGGCGGTGCGGTTGTGGGCGAGGCCAAGGCGGGAGGGGCGGAGGCGGATCCAAAGGGGCGGGCGGAGGCTGCCGGGAGTCGCGCGCTGCCGGTGCGTGGGTAGCTGGCGGCAGCGATGCTCAACTGCTGGGAAGCCGTGCTGGGCGCCGCCGTCTCCGTCCCCGTCTTTCTTTTCGTGGCAGCGCCCTACATCAGGTGCGTCTTACCGTGCGCAGCCCCTGCCCTTCGCGTATGTTCAGCCCCGCAGAGCGGCGCCCGTGTGTGTCTGTGTGCGTGTGGCGGGAGCGCGAACAGCGGGAATCCCGTTCTGCAGCCCGCGCTGGGGTCGGAGCTATTCCTGCCTGCCCAGCTCCAGCGCCCCGGTGACACTGCCACGCTGCGGGGCTCGCTCAGCCCCGACGCCGCCCGCCGCGTTCCCCGGGCTCCATCCCGGCACCGGCGCGCTCACGGAAGCGCGTCAGGGGGCGGGGCCCACGTTCTCCTCAGGGCGCGGCGGCGCAGCCCATTGGCCGAAAGGCCCCGGGGCGCGCGGCAGCAGCCAATGGGAGCCGTGGCCCCACTTGACGCACGGACGGGGCGGGGCCCGGGGCGGGGCCGCGCTCGGGAAAGCGCGGGGGATTGGGGGGCGCGGTGCCGGTGTCCCGGTCGCGACAGGCTCGTGACCAGTCGCTTCAGGGGGGGCGCCCGTGACTCCCTGGGGCCGGGGCGCAGCGGTGAGCCCGAGTGTTGATGCGAACCCCCAGGCTCTGGGTGCTCAGCCCCGGACGGGGCCCGCTGAGGCGACAGAAGTGACTGGTGCCTCCCCTCTTGCAGGCGCTATGTCGCTGGAGGACGGTGTAAGTCGACAGCAAGGCTGGAGGGGAAGGTGGTGATAATCACAGGAGCCAACACAGGCATCGGGAAGGAAACCGCCAGAGACCTCGCACGAAGAGGCAAGTGCAGGCATCCCTCTGCAGCCGGAGCGGCTGTGCCTTGTGTCAGTAGCCCCTTTTCTGGACCTAAGGAAGACGTGTTGTAGGCTTATATTGAACTAAACTGGATTCCAGAGTTACTGCAGATGAGCCCAAGTGCTGTTCCTTCCGAGGCTGTAACCACTGAGGTGCGAGTTCCCAGTTCCTTAACTGTTGACATTGCTTAGACTCCAAAAAGTCAAAAAGTTCCTTGTGGAATGAAAATGTGTTGCAATGCAACTGATTTGAGAGGACTGGGGAAGTTCCTGGACTCTGCTTGTATGAAGCTGGGAAATGACATAGGTCCACCACTGTGTGCTTTAGTTATATTTCAAGCTAATTTGATGTAAATGTTATTTGGCTAACTGGTAAGAAGATTAAACTACCTGTTCACAATCCATTTAGGAATTACTCTGGCTGGAATCCATCACCTTTATGTGCTCTTGGCGTGATGTTCCCATTATAGAGGCAGATAACAACCCTATCATACCATTGTTGTTGTATGCACTCCTGACCTGGGAGAACATGGACAGAGGCACGTTAAGATGTGCATTTGCGTGGTCTGAAATCATCTTTCAGCAGGACTGTAACTCACACTTGAGTGGGAAAGGCTTTGTCTCTTCCAGCCACCCTCCTGACTGATGCTAGTTCCCTAAAGAAACAATATATTGTTTGTAATTGCTGGGCATGGTCAGCCTGCTTGTCGTAGCCTGGATCATCCAGTGTGCTCCAGTGATCTCAGTTCCTGTTCCTATTGTTCCCCCCTCCTCTCCTTGCAGGTGCAAGGGTAATTATTGCCTGCAGAGACACAGCAAAGGCAGAAGCTGCAGCCAGTGAAATCCGAGCTGAGACAGGGAACCAGGAAGTCATTGCGAAAAAACTGGACTTGGCTGATACTAAGTCTATCCGGGAGTTTGCTGAGAGATTTCTAGCAGGTACAGTCTCTAGATTCTTTTTTTTAGTGAGAATATTTTGCCAAGGACTGCTGTCTGTTCTTCTAACCATTGCCAAATCCCTGCCCTGCTTGTCTCTGTACCTCTTGGGTGCTGTGGTTCATAGCAGGGGCTGGTCAGATGCCAGGAGCTAGTTTGTGGTAGGAGATGTATCCTTTTTTTTAAGGTGATGTAGCTGCAAGTCAGACAGCAAGGGGTGACTTCTGCTACTTTCTTGTCTGCATTCTCTGTTCCCTTGTTTAAGGATGTCTGTTGTTTCTTACAGAGGAGAAGGAACTCCATATTCTCATTAATAATGCTGGGGTAATGTTATGCCCTTACTCCAAGACTGCTGATGGCTTTGAGATGCAGCTGGGAGTCAATCATCTTGGTAAGGCCTGTGGAAGCATGTTTGCACTCAATATGGAATCATAGAATCATCAAGTGGTTTGGGTTGGAATTGCCCTTAAAGATCAACTTCTAACATGGACATCTGTTGCAAAATGCCAAAGGAAAATCCTGCTGTCAGATTTTCTCTTCCTCATTCTTCCTTTTACAGAAAGGATGGAGGGCTAGAGTCGAGAGTTCTGGAGATGCAATGTGATGTATTTGTGTATCGTGGATCCAGTTTAAGTATCTGTAGGTGTTACCTGGGACATTTTGAAATGTATGACAGCTCCAGCTTTTTGAAGATGAGGAGCAGAACTTGAAGGCCCCAGAAAAGTGTAGATGTTAATTCAGGGGAATTGATCAGAAATTTTCTTTTTGCTGGACTTGAAATGAGGGCAGCAGCAAGATTCCACATATAAGCAAGCAGGGGAGCCCTTCCCAGAAGGATGACCTTTTGTCTCCCCCCTAGGTCATTTTCTCTTGACCTTCCTCTTGCTGGAGCGTCTGAAGCAGTGTGCCCCCGCCCGCATCGTGAACGTGTCCTCACTGGCTCACCATGGCGGGCGAATCCGCTTCCATGATCTGCATGGGGAGAAGAGCTACAATCGCGGCCTTGCCTACTGCCACAGCAAACTGGCCAACGTGCTCTTCACCCGGGAGCTGGCCAGGCGCCTGCAAGGCAAGTTCCAGAGGCAGGAGGGGTGTTTGTCTGCTTGGCTTTCTGAGCACTGTGGATGGGGAGAGTGGGTTGAAGAAAGGGCTGCAAATCGTCTATGCAGAAATTGGATGGTTTGAGGCAAATGTCACTGAGAGCTCTTTGCAGGAAGAAAATATCTCCTGTCTGTGGAACCAAGAGACTTACAAGACAGATTGTCTTTAAAACAACAGGGTAGAGGAGTTTAGTAGGTTAGCATGTCTCATTTTTCTGTGGTGCTTGTCAAATACTAGCTGCATCCATGCAGACAGTTGTGGTATGTGGATGGAAGCTGGAAACAGAGCCACAGCTGCAGTCTACAGTAGAAAACCTAATGCACACTCAAGCTGCCTTAAAGGTTAATGGTCCGTAGAACAGTATAAGATTAGACAGTACCTTGTAACACAACATCTGTCACAGTTGTGTCATTAAGTCCAGTTCATAAACTTAAGTAGTACTTATTTACTACAGAAGCAGTGTCTTCCCCAGGAAATTACTATTAAAGTCAAAAGAGGCAGGTGTTCTCAAAAGCCTGCTGGAAACTGCTACTGGTTTAGCACTCAGGCCCCCTAGCACTTTGTTTTGCAGAAGGCACATAGTGACTCCTGTGTTTAGAAGGGAGCAGGGGATGCTCCAGTGCCATGGATGAATGATTTAAACTGCTTCAAGAATCACCATCAAATGTATTATTAGCAAAAGTGTTTTTAACCTGATGTCATAAAAGGGTGACTTAACAAGTATGATGGCAAAGTCACTCTGTTACTTACATGGAAGACACATACAAAGGAAAACTGATTTAGAATTAAGTTAGAATGATTCATACTGGACTAGAAACACACTGTGTAAGGAAGACCCTCCTGTTGAATCACAAGGCTCAGCATGGTGCTTTTTGAACTCCTTAGGGAGCCTAGGTCCAGTTTGAGTTTCAGACTTGGACAATTTATTTGTAATGGAATTATCTATACAAAGTTTATAATAATCATTACTGAGTAGCTACACAGACTAGTAATGTTTCCTCAGTATTAGTTCAGCAGTCACTTACCAAGCATTTGTTGCTAGCAAATGGCCTCTCTGCCTTGCTTAAGGAAGGCTCTCAGTCTCAGGTACGAAATCTCAAACCTTGAGAGGCATCTCTGCTCCAGGGTTGTTACCTGCTGTGCAGTCCAGTTGCAGCTTGAGCTGAGGTTCAGCTGGGCTCATCCAAAGGTTTGCTGTTGGTAAAAGGTCTCTGCCTTGAGGAGCAGCCTTGAGAGGTGAGCCAGCTCAAGGGCAGACTGTCACCCTGCAGTCAAATCTCCTAGCAGGGAGAGCTCAGAGAAGGTTTATTTAGGCTATAATATTTATGGAATGGAGTGGTTGGCTTGTAGTCAAATTACATACAGTGGGAAAGGTACACAAGACTCAGTGCATCCACAACCTTATTTGTTCCTGGATAGAAAAGTATTGGAAAAGCCATGTGCTACTTGTGTGAACTGCCTGATGGGTGTTCCAAATGCATGTGCACTGATACTCACTGGCCTCTGTGGATTTCCTAGAGGAGTTCTGGCCCGTTTACAGCTCACACCTTTACCTTTTTTGGAGCCTGTA